TCAAACGAAATAAATCAAAGAGAAATTGATTTTCAAAGGTCGTTTAATTTAACACAATACTGATTTCTCTATTTCTCATACAGTTGGTTATACTTCCATTTTGTACGTGTATTTTCTGTATTGTTTACAAATCTAAAATATTCTATAAAATCCAAAACTGTGTTGCAAGTCATTCGCACTTTGAAACTAAAAATTTTATACCCATAATACAATATTGCACATACATACATGTTTTTGTTTATCAATCTGAATTAAAATATTTATTGAATTATATAGCGTACTTAAGACAAAATTAGAAACAGTAACTAGTAGATCAAAAGTACTTTACAATAACAAGAAATGACAAGCAAAGAAAATTTTATTCTCTAAAGTTGTGTTTAAATTAGGCAAGTCTCCTGCAACATACTTATTTGAGTTTTCGAATAGTTTCACCTGTTACTTACGAGTATATTGGGTATATTACGCAGTAGTCAATGTATTGTGTTTCTTGAAAATTATGTATTCATGTAGGTACCAAACGAAAATTCAAAAACAGATAATTAAGAAATTGTGAAACCATTGTAATGTTTTAAAATGAAATATAAAAGGAAATAACTATGAAACATTAAGAAATTAAAAGGAAATAATTTTGTGTCACTATTATAAAGTAAATTAAAAGCTAGTATAATCCATTTAATAGTTTCCGCCTAAAAAAGTTGAATCATAATGATAAAAGGTTGAAATCAAAGTGCAATAATTCTTTTTTAATTTTCTAAACATTGTATTCGAACAGTTTTTTTTATTGGGTCTGTTAACATTGCTGTATGTTAAAATTTTTATTTAAAAAACATTAAGTGTGCTTTCTAAAATCACCTTTCTATTCGTCAAGTTTAGAGTCGATTTGGTCATGTCTGTGCACCCTTGCACCTTAATATTCACTCAAACTGGTAAATTAAATAAATTACTAAAAAACTAATTCTGGTAAATTAAATAAATTTTTAAAGTATGTATGATAATGAAATGAGGGCCTTTTTTAAATAACACGTCTTAAGGCAACAGTTAGCATTTGTATAACTTTTATTTCAGTTTTTTTATATCTCAATGTAGAATAGGATACGTTATAATAATTGCAACTAAGACCTCCTAGCTTTATGCTCAAAAATTATAAATATATAAGCATACGTATGACAGCTGCCATACAACTTCAAAAATAATTCAACTAAATTTTAGAAAAAGTATTAAACACAATTATGTATATTTATAATAAAGCTACTAGTATTACAAAAACAATAGATGGCATACAATGCAACTCCTAGAGTAATGTAATTAACGCGTATATTAGTATATATGTATGTATTATGCTGAGTAAATACGAGTATATTGTCAGCTCTTTAAAGTAAATTTTTCAATTTCAAAAATTGTGCGAGATAAGGTTTTAAGAATTTTTCAAACTATTTTGAAAGTGTAATTCTGAATTTGTCATAAATTAAATTTTATGAAGTAACAATTAAAAGCTATTTTAAAATTTATATACTAATGTTACCAATAAATTATCAATTATCCGAAACATTCAGCATATTATTTGAAGAACTTGTAATAGGTTTTGTGAAATTTTGTTAAAAGCAAATTTTTCAGATAACTCTCAAATTTTGCTTAAAGTACAACCTGTTTGTGGTACGAGGGAAGCTTAAAAAATTATAAAGATTTATTGCTTGGTAGAACTTAAATAAAAACAGAATAACTATTAACAAATGCGATAGTTTATCTGCTCAAAAAATATCCAATTTTAATGTCCTATCGGTTTTTCTATTTTTCGTCTGTATTATGTTTATGTCTACAAATTTGTATTCGTTTATTAAGTAAAAATGTATGTACATGCATACGTACAATGTATAGATCTACTTATAACATGCCATATCAGCTAACATTCTTATTACGTAATGTAAGCAATAATTAATTGTTATAAAATAAATTCCAAAATGTTTTTCATAGGTGTATTATTAATTCTTTTTATAGTATGTATGTATTTATATTCTAGTTGAATAGGGTACATTATGTAATTTATTCCATATCATTCATTCATACAAACATATAAATTAATGTATATGCATACATATGAATTTAGTACCCAAAAAAATCGTAGCGAAAATTATTTTAATTAATTTTAGCAAAATGAAAATTAATAGCAGAAAATGTCAAATATCAAAACAATTTACTTAAGTTGTTCATGAAAAAATAAGGCGTGTATTACACGTAAAATTATATTTATTTTAAAAAATATAAGAAATCGGGCCTTATTTACTGTGTCGTAGCACGTGGTTCATTATTTGTTTATGTAAACGCAGTAGTCAATAAATGTTTACAATATTTTTAAAATGAATAATTAATTATAAATTTATAAAATTTTTACATGTGAAAATTTATACAATAAAAAGGTTATTGACGCTAATAAAATCTATGATTAATAAATAGTTTTAAAATACTTTTAACAAAATATTTTAGATTGTTTGTATAAATTAAGAGTTTAAGTATTGCAAATGTGGTTTTTATACTTGCTTTTCATAATCTTATATGAATATTTTTTGAATATAAACGAGAACAAAACTCTGAACTGTGGTCGAGTGAACTCAGCGACTATCCTGTTATAATCGCACTAGTGTTTTTCATAGGTTACATTACAATTATAACAAAACAATTCATTAATTTTAGGTGCGGCTAACATTTTCTTAGATTTGTTACTCTTTTTTTAGAATTCTCCTAGCTTATTGGTTTGCTTGGTATGTAGAAGTTACTTTTAAGCTGTAAGGCAATCATTATAAAAACTCATGTAACCACAACCAATAAATGTCTTTGTTGAACGGTAGTTCTAGTACCAAATTTGGTTTTGCAAAATACGATTATGGTAGAGTTCATAACTTTTGAGATTTACTTAATCAGTGGAGATTACAAAAACGAAATTTTATCAGAATAGTGGCTTTTTTACCAAACTTGATTGTGAAAAATTTAAAAATGGATGCTTTACAGGTTCGAGAAATAAGTATTCTTAGCAATTTCGTTATGAAAATTTTGAGAACCTAGCTTTTTTTCAGAAGGTGAATGTACTGAGAGACAAATTCTTCTTCATTTTATCCTATCTCGGGTGATTTCCGAAATCTAATCAGATTAATTCTAAGTCACGTCGCTGAAAAATAAAATAAATAATTCAAATAATTGGCAGGAATTTTGTTATATGTATGTGTTCATATATTCCTGCAAGTGCGTGGTATTGCACTAATAGTTCAACTTTCGTGTATATCGCGATTTTAAAAAGAAAGATCAATAGTTTTTTTCAGAAATTTACCGGGCTCCTTCATGATGGGCCCACACTAAAAGGATGGGCTTAAAGGAAATCCTAATCTATAGTTTTTAGAAAGATATTAAAGCTTTTTAGGTGAAATTATTCAAACTTACGCGTTGTGATATACAATAAAAGGTTTGTCCAAAGTCACCATTATCAGAAACAATTGTAAAAATATAAAACTCTAAGTACGAAATTAAATTATTTTTTCCCCGATGTTACGTGATCAGAATACTTAACGCGTTAAATTGCTTTTATTAAATCAAGTAATCCAAAGAATTTTTCCTTTTAAAGTAATAAAAACTATATTTGAGATGTACTTATAACCTAAATATCCTTTTTTATAATTTTGCAACAAAAGTTTTCGAAAAATTTTTTCATAGAAAGTGAATTTTTATTTTAAATTTATTCGCTAAATTTCACTTATCCGCGAAGTTTTCGCAATCTTAGTCCAGACTAAATTTAATAATAGATTTAATAGATAATCATATTATAGAATATAATATATGTAGAATATTGTAATAGATTTTAACAATTTATTTCATCTTGCTTTTGTTTAAAAATTCAGTTTCATCTTTATCACAAAGTTCAAGTTGCATTTGATAACAATTTTGCACAATGCACTTAACCCCTGACAGTTGATTTCATTTTATTTCCAAATAGAAGAAAATTTTGATTGTAGGGAATTTGGATTTTAATAACTATTTTTTTTATCATAGAGACGTGATCACAATTTCCTTCCAAATTTTTGCAAAAAATATTCTTGTCTTCCATGCATTTTCTTCTTTCAAGAAAAAATGTTTTTTTCGTAAATTTCTTCACTTAATAATGCGCTGTATGTTTGTATGAATATCTACATTATATAATGTCAAATTACAAAAATAGTTGTAGCTTTTTTTCTTCTGAAACTTTTAAAAATTTTTTGATGGAAAAACATTTTAAGAAATTTTTTTATATTACTGAAAAGGAAAAGTTAAATTGCTTCTATCAACAGTTTATGTCAAAAAGTTATTTCTTCAAAAATTTTGGGTCTTGGATATTTTAGGATTGTTAAGTTTCAAGGGAAAATGTGTTGAATAACTTCTTATTATAGACAAGAAAAATATTCAAAGAAAATGCTAGAGAAAAAATGTTTAGGCTCTTCTACATTAAAGTAAATCATTTAATAATGAATTTCATATACTATATTAATGATTTTTAACTGGAAACTGTTGTTCTTGACGAAATAAAAATAAATTTTTTTTTCTATAAATAAGTGAATTATCTATTAAGAAAGATAATTTATCTATTAAGCTATCATTTATTAATACTATAATGAGTCTAATTAAATCACTTTTTTATTTAAATTCAATAAGTGACAGGCAAACAATAGTAACCACAGTCACATCATCATATGACCAATATATTTAATGATTTTTTGCAAACTTCATGTAGCAAAAGTTCTTAGACTTAAGCAACCGAATTTCTAAAACATTCTACAGCAAATTCGATTAAACTCAACTTATCATCCAAAATCACTTATTGTTCTATTGTTCTTATTGTTCAAGTTGCATTTGACAACAAATAAATAAACAGCACCTTATAACATGTGCTCAATGGCTTCACATTTGATGTTCATACCATTCATAATTATGACTGCTTATAAATATGTAATATTAAAACTACAGTATATTTATTTTCACAGTTATTCACTTTTAAAGATGGGAATGTTGGAGTTAATTTCTTAGGATTCAATGCTCAAGCTGGACTAGGGGGCTTACTGACAGGTAATACAGCACATGGTGGTTTAAGTGCTTCAGCGGGTACACCATTTGGTCAGAGGGCTGCAGCTGGTATTGGAGGAAGAAATGGCGACGGTAAATATGCATCCTTTTCTCTTATTAAATTTGTTTTTCTATATTGCTTTTAATATTATATTTTACAGATATATATTTTTATTTACAAAGAAAATATTAAAAAAAGGGTTAAACAAAAAGTTTTTTTATTTTTTTTTCGTTTTTTTTCTTTTGCTCTTATATTAATGATTTTGCACAAACTCTTTACCGACTATCAGTACCTACTGATATTTTTATCTAAGGATTCTTAATTTGATTAAAATGAATTTACACGTGCAATACAAGATCCTTGGGCTCTGATTAAAAAAAAATTAATAATTAAATTCCTTTATCATACTTTGTGAATAGACTTACCTTTATTTTTACGATTTTAAAAATTATTTGTAATTTACTTTGAAAATCAAAAATACGAAAAGATACTTATGATAATCCAAAAAAAAAGGTGAATTTCATCCACCTGAACATTAGTGATTCGGTTTTTTCAAAGGCAATAGAAAAGGAACAGGAATTTAAATGCAATTAATTATGATTTTCTATACTTAGTGATCATATTTGAGTTATCATTTTTTTATTGTAATTAATTAATTATTTAAAAGTATTTGGAATTTGTTTATTGGAACATGACCAAAATTTTTAGGTTATAAAATTCGAATTTAACAAAGTTGCAAGAAGATAGATAGTTCAATATTGTATGTTTTAATATTTAATTCGTTTTATATAATTTTTGTTAAAATATTTAGGATAAATTAATTGAGTGATAGAAATGTTCAAGAAAGTTATTAATGGTTGGTATAAAACTCTTTTACAGCCCAACTAATAATTTCCCTCTCGTTCAGGTTATGTCTTTTTAGCACTTTTCCAAAAAATTTTTTGAAAAAAGTGCTTATTAGTTTCACTCTGTCCGTCCGTCCGTCCGTCCGTCCGTCCGTCCGTGGACACTTTTTTTGTTTACAAAACTTCTACACCCTTGAAGATAGAAAGCTGAAATTTTATATGTACATAGATCTTTACTAGAAACTTACTTCCGTAGAACAAAATTTTTACCTATCTCCCCCCCTCTAGAAGTTATACCCCCCCAAAACCTTAAAAATGGCCTTTTTTAACTTTTTGTTGCAATGAAACCATAAGCATTTTTGAAATTTTGCAAACGCAGAAAGGCAGTGGCTTGCTTCCCCTAGCGCGGTATGCTATAGTCAAAATTTAGAAAAACAAAATGGCCGTTCAAATTTGCCGTTATCTAAAGTCCTTTTTTTCCAAATTTTTGATGTCATTTTTCTTCTAGACCCCAGCCTGTAGAAGCTTGAAATTTTAGTGACTTATAGACATTAAAAAATAGTTTATTTCGTTAGAAGAAAATTTTTTTCCATCTCCACCCCCTTTCAAGTTATCGCCCCTTGAAATTTGTAAAATTTGAATTTTTGACACCTTATGTTTCCGAAATCGTACGTTTTTTCAAATTTCTATAAACGCAAAAAGCTAACGGTAAATTCCATGACATTAAAAAATATAATTATTTTCCTTAACTCACACAATTAACCCTTAAAATCGAGCATATGTTAACCCCTTTTTATATTAATTTTTGCTTTATTTCAAAGACTGCATAAATCGTTCATCCTAAATATATGCAATCCTAGAAAGAGTTTTGTATATGAATGAAAATAATTTTAATAGTGTGATAGGTATACATAGACTGTATTTAAAAGCAGAATTTTCACTTGCTGAAGGGAAAAGTGCTACAATACAAACCATTGGTTTGACCCAACTTTATTATATTTTCTTTAACTCACTTCGCTGATAATGAAGAAATTTTATCTGACTGTATTGATGCAATATTTTTTGCATGATTTCAACTTTATGAACAATTTTGTTCCTCGCTAACAATTATAGCTTATTTTTGACCTCATCAATAGAGCAAAATTGTCTAAAAGTTTTGTGGATACCAGAACCAGTAAGAGATAGGAAACGGCAGGCTGGTATTCTGTAAACAACCATATTTACTAAGTCATTTTTTCTAGTGAAAAGCATAAATTCCCATCGCTTTAAAAATTATATTATCTACCTATCCTCATTAAAAAATTTTAAAAGCTTTTAATATAAAAAAGCGTATAAAAAAGTATAAAGCAAAAAATTTTCTTTTGTATAATATTCTGGTTATAATATGTATACATATTTTTTTGGCCACAACAATTGAAATATATAATATTACAATCACGCCACGCCTATTGTATTATTTTTATGATCTTGTTTATGTTCAACAGAATATTTAAAAACCGTGTTTATGAGAATGCAATTTTACGATTTTTATCCACTGCCATTGTCTCCATAATTACTTCCTTTCAGTGTTATTTTTTTTAAATTTTCCATGGTCTATAATTAATTTTGCTTCAGATTACGAGTATTATAAATATTTTTTTTTTTGTTTTAATGTAATGTAATTTTTTTTTGGCTAGGGAGTTTTTAATACTTTTTAAAACAAGAAACGAAAAACCAAAAGAAAAAGAAATTCGTTTTTAATAGCCATTTTCCAATTCAAATGTTGTTAAAAATGGCTTCATTGAGTTCAAGCTTATAATGTAATGTGTTTGTTTGCTTGTACTGCTTGAATTTAAAAACATAAGTATAAATGGTTTTTGATAATAAAATTATTTTGGGAAAAAATATGTAACTGATGATAAGCAAAACAGAAAGAGCAGTAAGAAAGAATTGTAATAACTAAAAAGGCAATTATAGAGTAGCAGGCTTCATTTTTTAGCAGGTTGTGTTTATTTACTCAGACCTTAAAACTGAAACAAATTCTTATGTAGTCATTGTCTTTTTGTATAAGGAAAACTCACGGTAATTATAAATTTTGAAATTATTATTTTATAAAGCTTTATTGGCATTCCAATTTAAGAGAAAATATTTGTTTTAGAGACAGAATACTTATTTATTTATTTAATTTTATAAGAATGAAGTATTATTAAAGTTTTCCAAAATGTCGAGATATTTGAACTTACTCGAGTTCAAAATGTTCAATTTTTGTAATTATTTCAAATAAATTTTTATTTGTATTAATTAATATTAACCGCATATCAACTGGTGTTAAATGTCAGTTGCGGCTATATTCATATTTTTATTCTTAATTGAAACTATTTTTTATCTTTGCATCTGTATAGTCCCAATTTTACGAACAATAGGCGTATTAATTACTTTAAAATATTAGGTTTAATTAAAAAATATAGTTTTTTCAATTTTTATTCAAAACTTCGTAACTTTCATAACTAAGGGGTTTAGGGTACAGTTTCAAATATTGAAAAATTCGAATTTGTGATAAAATGAAAATCTGCTTAACTTGCATGCCAGTATATGTTACATATTATTAGACTACAAAATACGACCGTATCTATTTTTAAATCGGAAGTTATTCAAGGCAACAAATGACCGGAATATGCAATCGGAATTGTGTACTTGCACATAAGGTGTTCTACAAATTGTTTCGAGTTAAGAGTTTCTAGTTGTTAATTCTTAAGCTATGAGGCTATAATCCTCTGGTGGATTTAATTAGCTAAAAATATGACTCCTATACGTATATAAAAATCTTTAATTCTTAAAATTTTTGCTAGAGTCTTGGAGTTGATTTAAGATTTAAAAAAAAAGATCATAAATCAAAAAAGAATTAAATTTATTAATTAATCTAAGCAAAATCTTTTTATTTTATATAATTGAGTTTTAGTTTTGTTTAATTGTATTATTTTCAACCTTGTTTTTATCCTTGGCCTTTCAAATCAAAATAAAATTTCAAATAAATGAAAAAATTTTTGACCCCCAGTCTCTATTAATAATAAAAAAAATTAAAATGTCAACCTATACCTCATATTCCTAAAAAAAATAATAATTTACGTGTAAACTTTTTATAATGATATTTTATTTCTAGAAAGGACATTAAAAATTTATTTTTATTTTATTTAATGAAGATAATTTAAAAACAAAAGGTTTATAATTAAGTTTTATATTTTTTTCTCTCTTTTTTTTTTATTCCGAATTTATTGTGTAAAATTATTCCGCAATAAACCTAAATACATTATGATTACAATCGTATAAATAAACTCGCAATGTTGTTTTAATAAATCATTTGTAGAAACGTTTGTTATACCATAGAAACATGGAACACATGCTTAAGATTTTTGCTCTGTCAAAAAATTTCAACTAGAAGAAGATTTTAAATCAATTAATGATAAAAATTATTAATTTTAGTACTCGTATTAATAAAAATATTCATAATTGGTCGTGTGTTGCGGTGTACTTTGGTAACTTATTTAAAATTTTATTATGGGGATATATCAAAATCGTGATCAGAAATTTATATTTTACTCAACCATAGTTCTTTGAAGTTGTACTTGAAATTAAATGGCCCAATGTTTCTTCTCTTGTTTATAAGTAAAGCAGACTGATTACTGACTTGTGAAGCTAAAACTGACTTGTTAACAAAAAAAAAAACAAATGATTTTCTTTAAAAGAACATCTGTTTCAGCAGACGGCAACTCATTGCGGGAAAATTCTATACAATATTTTTTAATAAAACTTAATATTTTTAATTGAAGTTTGGTTATTAAAAATTTGATTAAAATAGGACTTTGAATATTAGGAGTTATTTGGATCACAGGAATGGTTGTAAAATCTTGATTTACATTTAAAACTTGCAAATTTTTACAACTTTGTTATATTCCTTAAATATAATATACTCCTGCCATAATTGTACCATAAAGTTGGCAAAATTAATCTTTTATTCTCTTCTTTTAATTCTATTCGCACCAAATTAACTGAGAAAATGAAAAAAGAACTGAAAAAAAATTTAAATTTTGAAGGATACTTTTTTATGCATTTTATTTTTAAGGCTATAAATTCGTCCTTGGTAAAGAAAATAATTTTTCATTATTATTTTGTAAATATTTACTTAAATTCCATTTCGTTTACACAGATAATCACTAAATCTTTCTTAAAAGAAAAATAAAAATTTAAAACAAAAAAAAATTATTATTATTATTTATTCCAATTTTTTTTATCCTTTAAGAAATAATAAGTTTGATTTAAAGAAATTTATACTAAATATTTACATCATTATTCTAAACAAATATTTTTTTTTATTTGCTTGTGGTCTGATCTTATTTTATTGAAATTGTGTACTCAATTTTCATTAAAGTTATGCTTTCTTTCCATGTAGCACAGAAGAGGAAAAATTTTACATTGTAATTAGAAGGACTATGGTATTGCTTTTGAGGGAAAAATATAATAAAAAATGGTATTACCAGCTTCATTTACAAATCTTACCCTTGCTATATATGTCTATTTTGATAATCAATTAACTCTCTTGCATCTACATGTAATACAATTGTATTGATCACACTTTTTAATTGAAACTATGAGTGGCATTCACAGTATCGAAAGTTTTGAAACGACAAGCATAATTTGGCCTATAATATTCCGTAAGAAGATGTAATAGATCGAAACCTTGGTTTGTAAAAAATCACATTTCTCTTTAATAATTAAAGATTAGAAATTTGATTTTAATAAAAATTTTAATTGCTTTATTACAATAAAATTTGATATGAATTCGGGAGAAACCTTAAGGTGACAAATTTTGGAAAATTTATACTAGAACTATTATAGCAAGAATACGGTATCTAAAAATGACTTTAAAAGTTGTAAAAATATTAAAGTTGTTTATTTTTTTTTTGATCCATAAACTCTAAGCATTTGAGGACTAACTGAATTGTAGTATTCATAAAGTACTACACTTTAAAAATTAGCGAAAAACTGGGTTGAGATAACGCATTACCCGTCATTTAAATACTCGTGTTTTTGAAAAGCTAAGCTTTGCAGAGGCGACAAGAAGGTTTGTTCTATATGAAAAAATACTTCTCCTGGGACCTGTTTATGTACAAAATGTTATTATTCTATCTTGAACGGTGTAGAGTTTTATGGGCAGACGGACCAACAAGTAAACAATTACTTTAATATTTGTTTTAAAATAATGAATTTTATTGAAAATATTCTGAATTTTAGATTTTAAATATCTGTATTTACTTTTAATTTAGTTTCAATTTAAAAAATTGAAATTTTCATACTTATTACATTATAAAAAAAGTTTAAGGTATGAAATCAATCATCAATCAACAATTTATAATTAAATTTTCTGTGCATTTTTTGATAAATTGAATTTCCGTGAAAAATATAAGACTTCAAACATAACCTATCAAAAGAAAAAGCAAAAGGCCTTAGATGTAAGGTTTCGCCTTTAATTACAAAAATGGAAATTCATTAAATAAATTATAAAACAGGAATGTGCAAACTTTGTTGCACTATGGGGTTGACCAAAAGAAGAAAAAAAAATTGTGCGTAACCCAAAGCTATAAATCTGAAAAGAATATTTTTAAATTGATAAATCATTCTAATTACATATCGTGTTATCATTTATATGAGAAAGTTACCGGTGCGTAATGTGAATAATTTAAAATTGATATATTTTTATAGACCTGGAACCAACATGCAACTGAAAAAAGTTTATTCAATTGTTTGATTGGCAGTTTGAGTTTCATTAGTTTATATGAAAGCTTGCAAACATTCGACTGACCAAGTTATATTCAAGCGATCGTAATTTTTTTTATTGAAATCAATTCGTAGCTTCCTTTATTTAATTAATAAGAATCAAATCAAGCAGTAATTGCAAACCTAAAAGTTCTATATAGACTCTAAGCCTTTGTTTACACATCCATCATTTCTATTTCTTAACAAATATAAGCAATAACTACTTTCTTAGACGGTCTGTAACTAGAGAATGCGTTTAACTCCATCCTTATCTTTGTTTTACTTGTAATGTATACAGAGAAATCCTATACCGATGTTATACACACGTCATATTGCAATCAAACTTTTTCGTTATTTTTTTATTAAAATTAATTTCAGAATAATATCAAAGTTTTGTTGCTCAAAAATCTCTTAAATTTAATTTAATTTAATGATAGAATATATGGTTGCAATATAGCAATGTGATATTGTACATATGTGCAATTCATGTTTCACATTTTGATATGTAAATAGCTTGAGGTTTCTAGAAGTTTGTCTTTAAATTAAAACAAAACATTTTATATATTTTCTTATACGAAAATTATAAATACACTCAAAAAAGTCCTTTTTCCCCTTTTATTATTAATTCACTAAAAATATAACTGTATGCATATGTACAGAGGTACTCAATAGAACAAATGTCGAAATAAAAGCTCAGAATTATTTTATATTGCGTAATTTATAACGATTATTGATTTTCGAATTAAACATATTTGACGAAGAGATTGAAACATATTTTGAAGGTGTTTTTTGGAGAAGGTTTTCCTGTAAAATAAAACACTGAAAATAACACAGTCAAAATTTTCAGTGTTTTGAACTTTTTGGATAACACATTGCAATACCGTTTTCATATTGTACGTTATAATATGCGTAACTCATTAGCATATAAAAAAGTTGTATCTTTCAAGGATAATGCTATAAAATATCGTAACTAAACTTAATTGAATATTTTCATATGTATATATGCATATAGATATTTGGGTACATTTGTATATATTTTTTGATCTATACGTGCTGATATAGTTTTAATTTAATAAACTCTTACTTTCTATTTTCATTATGAATTTACACTTTCTGAATGGAAATATAATGATGGCATCTTTTACCACATCAAATTGAAAATAAAAAATGTTCATTGTTTTGGTTTTCTTTTTCTTTTAATTTTGTAACGCTTAGCTGGGAAAGGTTAAAAATTTCTATGTTTAAGCTCTTACATCCTTCATAAAAATAGTTATCTTTCGTCTTAATGAAATATGTAAATGAAATGTAAAGACGCAAATATTCAAAAATTTGTTTAAAAACTGCATTGGCTTTAGTTGGCAAATCAGATTAACTTTTCTATATTTTGTAATAAGTCACCTATTCTATCTTAATATTGTTTGATATAGTTTTCTAACTTATTTTAAGGTGGAACGTACGGTGGAGCATTTGCTGCTGCAACAGCTGGAAATGGTGTCTCAGCAGGAGCAGGTTTAGGTGGTAATGCTGCTACAGGTGGGGTTTTAGGAGCTGAAGCTAGTGCTGGTGGTGTTACAAAAAATGTAATTAAAACCGTAGGAACTGTTCAAGATACCTCAGAAATTCATAATGAATATCCCCCAACAACAGTTTCCGATCAACCTAATACAGGTGTTGTACAAAAAATTAAACCACCTAAAAAATATGGAGTCGGTCATGTAAGTAAATATGCATGAACTATATATTTCGATGTGGCATATAGCATTGTTGATGTGGCATTTAAAATTTAAGGATTCGTTTTGTGTTTTGATTAATAAGAGTTATTTTAGAAAATATTTTTTTTTGTCCTTTTTATGTGTAGCTATCTTTGTATTTTTACCCCAAATCGAAAATATAACACTGCATTTTCGATTGTATGCAAAAATATTTAAGTTTTGCAACAATAAGATCAATGAAAGAGCACAATTCTCACTAAAAATTAATTTTGATTACAAAAAATTTCTTGTATTTCGTAAAAACCTACCGCAGAATACTTGACACAATTATAACAAATTTTAAGAAAATATACCATAATCGTAGTTTTGATTATTAATTAAACGAAAAGATAAAAAAAATATTTTTAACTTTAAAAACTTGAAACTGTTTTGTAAAATGTGCACATTTGTGCTTGAAATACTTTGGCACAATAAACTCAAATGATTAAGTTTTATGTTGAATTTAAGTGCGGATAAATAGAAACAAGTAGAATGTAACAAATCGAGATTGTCAGCTTTGCTTGTATTAGTCAATGGTTCTAAACAGTCAAGCTTTAACTCGCTTTTACTATAAATAAAGAAATCTCTATTATAACTGATTTTTAAGAAACATCAAATCAACAGAAAATAGACCCTGTTTTGTAATTTTTCTTTTTTATGGTACGTTCATAGATATATTTATAATTGCGATCAAAATTCTTTTGATTTCGTTGTAACACAATTTTTAGTTTTAAAACGTTATTACATTTCAAACTCTTACAAAACGGTAATATTCATAAAACCATGACAAAATACAAAAACTTTCCTAATATCTAAGGTGGTCTAGCCTACATGACCAAAAATTGAGCCCTATTTGCAATTGCTTTTCAAAAAGTCATTTTAAATACATTGCAAAATTTGTTAATGTTATTAATATTGAGCAATTATCAGCCTGATCGTTAATCTCGCTTTTTTATCCACCTTTTATGCACTTTCAAATCGGAATTCCCCGTATTTTGTAATAGAATTATATGATAGTTACTAACTTTCTTCTCACTTTCCGAGTAAAGTAGCGAGATAGACGATTCGACCCTATTAGACTTTAATATGTAAAATATTTCTTTTATTTGTCTATAATGCCTAATTGCCTTGCGTATTTGGTTTTAAAGTACAAATTTTATTTAAACGTTTATTATTGGTTAACTAAATTTGTTCACACTTATTCACAACATTTCTTAAATTTTTGTAATTTAAAGCAATTACGGCATTATTATTAATCTGTTTTAATACAAATATTGAATAAGTTTTTGTTTATGTAAGATTATCTTGTGTGCATCTTGTGTGTAATATCCATATATGTATGTATGTAATGAATTATATAATAATTTAATATTGTTAACATTGATTTACATTGAAATGTTTATATTATATAACACAATATTTTTTTTTAATTTTCTCTTAATTATGATTGCATAATAGCTTTATTAAAAAAAATAAAATAAATGCCATAAAATAAAATTTTCTATAGGTATAATTGTTAAGTATATTTTAATTAAATAATACTGTAATAATATAATAATGTAACGTAAAATGTAGATTATTGAAGAGGAAAATAATGGTGATAATGATGATGATGGTCAAATTGATGTTGACACAAGACTTACAAAAACCAATGATGAATCGATACAATTACCAAAAGCAAATACAAATATTAATATTGAAAAAACGATAATTACTTCAATTAAACCGCAATTAGCAGCATCTGCAGTTGTAGTAGACAAATCGAAATCAATTGTGGATAATAGTGACTTTCAAACATCAGATGTAGTTTTAGTACCACAGTCAAAAGTATTAACATACCGTAAAAAACTTAGACCTTTTAGACAACGTTTAAATGTTCAAAAATATTTAGCACCAATCTCATATCAGCAACCATTATCAGTTGAGGTACATTATGTATATCTATAATAATAATTAATTTTTTGATAATAATTATATGCAATTAATGCATAAAATAAAAATTAAATGAAAGTTGGGATATTTCATTATTAATGTTAAAAACAAAAAGGATTATAATTCTCTAAAGCTTCCTCAAATATATTACAATCGTATATGGCTTTTATATAACGCATACTACTACTGAAAATTTTAAATATAAGTAATTGTTTTATTTCTAAAAGCATAAAAAATCAATCTAGATCTGAAATGATTGCAAATTAAAAACAATTGAATGCCCAAATGATGCAAAGGCACATTTTTTTATGAAATTTTGAATTTTTTATCAAAAAAATTAATACTAATTAACCTTCTAACGGGAAGAATGTCTGGTATACACACTAAAGAATAATATGTGTCATGCCTTACTCGGTCACATCTAACTCTCATCAATTTGAGATTTAAAAATTTTAAATTTATTTATTAATAACACAACATATTTTTACGTGGTGATTTAAAAACTGGTTTTCGATTTGTAACCTCTTATATGTATATATGTATTTTATCGCTTTTATATAATATAAAATTACCTAAGAACTACATAATTTGTAAGCGGTACTTTATTTTATAAGATTATGGTGATTGTGGTAGTTCCTTTTAATAGCTTGGTACATAATAAAATTTAATTATGCTAACTTAAATACTAATAATTAGATCTAAGTTGAATCTAAAATATAATTTACAAAATACATTCGTTTTACTCGAATTGACATTGGAATTTTTATTAATAATATAAAAAATACATGTTTATTATACATGTATACATTTATATATTAGGTTGAAAAAAGAAATCAACCTGCCGTTGCTCCAATCGAATATTCAAAAACAAAGACAACAATTCTAGCAACACCCTCTCAAGGATCACAAACGCATTCAGTTTCAGCTGAAGGTCAATTTAATTCAAATGGTTTCTTTGACGGAATATTCAATGTAAGTTGTGTATTTAAATTATTAAGTGATTATCAAAAGCATATTTTACATTTTAAAGCAATTTATATTTTAGATTCCGATATCAACATTAAGGGCTCTTAATGATTTTCTTAATCAAGGCTTTGCACAAGGAAGCGTAGGAGTTAGAAAGACAGTGAATGTACAAACCCATTAATAAATAATAATAAATTTTGAAATTTTTTTTTATTCTTTTATTAAAAAAGAAATATTTTTTTGTATGTGTATAAACTTTTTGTATTGATAGTAATTGGTCTTATTTTTTATTTCATGTGATTTACAGTACTCCATCTATTAACAAGACTATCATCTAAAGCCCATTCTGTTAAAATATGGTGTTATAAGTATACAATTTTAAAATAATTAATCGACTAGGGCAATGACTCTTTTCATTTAAAGTTTTGGATCTTCAACTTAATGAAATTTAAATATAAATTTTTTATACTATAAAAAATACCGTATAATTTTACATTTTTCTTCTGGAGAGTTATTACGAGTACGTTCTTTAATAATATTATTAGCAGTTGTTTCACACTACATTAAATAGTTTTTTTTTTTAAAGAGTATAAATCAAAAAATTTTCAGGGTAATGATACATAGGTAGATTTATTGCGTTTTACAGTTTAAAATCCGTTCCAGCGATTGAAATATAATTAAGTCAAATTTATATAATTTTATGGTCTCTAAGATGCTTTCCATATATTCATTTGTGAAAGCTGTTTGAAATTACCAAATACCGTGTTTCTGCTTACATATTAAAATATTTGAACAATCTTACAGTCTGTAAATAACTGTTCGCCTATAATTTCAATTTCCTCATATCAACTTCAATTTGCTTAGTAAAAAAAATACGACCTTATTAGCGAACGCGTTGCATACAATAAGTGAGGTTATGTGATGCCAAATCTATATGTAAATTATTTTTAGTTAGATGGCTGCCATCTTTTGTCTTTTAATACAGCTTTTCTGTCAGTCTGTCTTGATTTTCACTTCTGAATCTCAAGTGATTTTAATGAAAATTTATATTCGAAATCAACTTGGCCTTAACTACAGGCCGATTCAACGTTTCTCAATATTTTTTCACTATGGAATAAGTAATTTCGAATAATTCAAATTTCATTGATAATACCATCAGTAACCCAGCGTTTCAAAGTAATCAGGGGCCAGAAACTGTACTAAGGCTGATTGTACAACTTTTTTAAATACAACGGATTTTCTTGAATTTTAACATTTTAATTATAGTTTTTAAAACAATGGACTAATATGTTTTTGGGAATTTAAGGTCGGAAACTGAAATTTTGTTAACGGCCAATTTTACATTTTTTACCATTTCTAAAGAATTGACGGAATTTTTTACCGACCGTATTGTGTATACAATAGTTAAGTTATGTGATGGCAACAAATGTTGCATATTATCGAGTTTTCGGTGGGAATTCACTTCTCCATGGTAGGAAAATGTAAATAAACTATTTTTAGCAACCTGTTGGTCTGTCGGTCAGTGTGTGCACGCGTGTATTTCAAGTTCGGCTGAATCGATTTTGATGACAAACTTACGTTTGTTTCGACCATGGCATGGTTTGATCAACTTTTGGAATATATCAGGTCTGGGAAACTGTATTTTTTAGCGGGCCTGTTTATTTATAAGAAAATATTCAACCGGGTTAGTTGAAATTTCATATATGAGCTTCGCTTGTCTATCCGCGAAATCTCCTAATTTTTGAAAAAAATCTGGCATCAGCAACTGGGCGTTACCTACGGGCCAAATATACGTTTTTGCGTATATAGTGAGAAATAATCAACCAATTCCATTGAAATTTAATATTTAAATTTTTCGTATTAAAACAATGAATAGTTAAATTTTTTTAAAGATCAGGCCTCGAAAACTGATCTGAGGGCGGATTTTAAATTTTTTATCATATCTACGGAACGAATTGATGGAATCTCTTGAAATTTGATATTTGAGTTCTGTTTGTTACCGAAACTAACTGGCGAGCATTTCAGGGAATTCGGGTAGCTCAAAGCGAAACTCTACTAAGAGCCAAATTTACATTTTTCTAGTTATGTTAACTATAACCTTATTAGTTTCCTAAATATTGGAAAGAAGTATTTAACAGGCATTTTTGTTTTAGGTTACAGAATAACACTTTCACTTAACTAGATAATATACATTGCGGTCAGTTATGTGCTGATCACATCAGATTTTTTTAAATTTGGCAGCTATTGGTGAACAAAGCTAAGTGAAGAACTTTTCAGGAAAATTGAGTCGCAGAAAGTGGTTTTAAGAACCAAATTAACATTTACATTTTACTAGGTTAATGAATCATAATTAAAAGGCTACTACCTGTGATGCTAAGTGTTAAAAATCATGCTTCTGGAATCACTGTGATCCTAATCCAAATATTGCTTTCAATAATTCCAGACCATCATTTTCAAAATAATGTTAGTGTTAATATGAATTTAAAGTAAAGATTTTTTTAATTTAGTTGAAAAACCACAACAAAAATAATTATTTTACAATAAAGAGTTTTTTATTGTTTATTCAAATTTTCGAAATTAATAAAATTTCTCGAAAAGATTAAAATTATTACAACCACCTTCATTAATCAAATAAATTTATTCTATTAATAACTATGATTTTAATTTTCAGCTCATAAAATTTAAAGGTTGTCTAGTATGAGAAGTCATCAAAACATTTCTTTACATATATTAGCAAAACTTCGTAAAATACCCGTTTATTGCTTTAGAATTTGTTTTAAAATTTGTTAATAAAACTGATTTAATTGATTATTAAGGATCCAAACATAAAAAAATATTATCTACTAGTATTCAGACGTGTTTTAGAAGTTATACAATATAGAAAAATTTTATAATCTTGATGTTACACTCTTTTCCCACCACAGAAATTGTTGAAAAACGGTATGATGAATTTTATTAATGTGAAAATAAACGAAGAAAAATTTCTTCATACAAATGCATATTGATAGCGTGGCAAAGAAATGATGGTTTATACATACTAGTAAAAATATGAAAACCTTTTAATTAATAAATTATGTAAATCTTCTAAGTTTGCTTTGAAGTACCGTAAAAGTAATTTACCTTTGTAATTGTCTTTTTATATATTAGAATTAATATACACACTTTTGTAGAAATTAATAAAAGATTTTGTGTTGAATATCCAAGGTATTATAAACTTATTACCATTTTCTGGTTAATGTAATCTAATCTTAACTGAGGTTTTTATTAAGTAGATAAAACAACTTTTAATTGTTTTCTTGAAAATTGAAAATTTTTAATTGAAAATATGAATTGAGAACAATCATAAAGAACTTAAAAAGAAAAGGAACTTCTATTGTTTTCATTTTTTACTTTCCACTTTTGTTGCATCGCGCCCTTATATCGTCTTTATAATACTTAGACATAATATTACGTAAATTAAAATTCAGATTCAAGGATAATATAACATCCAATCACGTATGTATAGGAAATATTTAATTAGTATTTATAAGATCGAAAATTAATAAATTTATAAATTTTTATTACAAAGCAAATATAAATTAAATGAGATGCGAATGTCAACCATCTGAGGAACATTTTATTGATTACTCATTTGTTTCCAATTCAGATTTACATTAACGTAAAACGTTATGTGATTTGTTAATGTCAATATTATATTAAATACCTACAAACAAAAAAACATACTAATGTATAGAAAGTCTAGATAAGCCAAAATCAACATAAGCCCTACTTTTTTCAAAATAGAGTTTCAATGATTTCTTTTTAGTATTATTCCAAGCATATTACTTATTTTATTTAAAGGCAATTATGTCCGTAATTTTGCCTCTAGCATTTAAGGGTAACTCATAACATGAATCAAATATTTTTTTTTTAATTTGCATAATCTGGAGTTCTTATTCGAAAAGACAAGTGATATTTGTAGTTTCGATGTTATTTTAATTTTTTTTGTAAAACGTACTTACATAACAACAGAATTACAGAATTTATAACAACTAAACGATTCCCGAACCTTAATCGGACAAGATGTTCTGTACTTAAAATATGATAAGTAATGCAAAATGTCAATTTTCGGTTCCCTTTTTCTTCGACTATCTAAATTCATTCGTATTACTATTAGAGCTATAATATAGTATTAGTTCTTTGAAAAAAATTAATGAGCAACGCAATTAAATGCTTTGGGTAAAAATTTTCCTGAAGTCCAAAATTTGTGAAAAATTGCATAGTAATAATTTTTATTATTTAAAAGATCAGCAGCTATAAAAAATAAAATTTCTGGACTTAAATTATTGTTCATGAAGAAAGTGCAATTTTAGAAACTATGGGCTTTGAAAGCACACTTTATTAAAACATCTGTTACAAACGTGTCAAACACATACATCAAATTTGAAAAAATGTTAATTTTATTAAAATACAAAAAAAAAGAAATGAATAAATTTCGAAAGTTAAAAAAAAAAATTAACAATCATTTTTTTCACATACTATTTTGCAAGATTCATATCTTTCTATATCTTTTTTTAATTTTTTATATATCTTGTACAATAATAACTGAATTTGCTAATGTTATACACAGAATATGCCATACACTTTTCTTTCCATTTTATCTAATATATAAGGATTTCCAAAAATTAAGAGAATACATAGTTATGTACACATTTAAAATCACTTGCATTGCATTTTTTGTCCTTAAAAATAAAATTTTTGTAAGAAAAGCACAACGTAGCTATAAACTTCATTGTTAATGTTGTAAAAAGGACATCCTTAAGGAATACGAATTATTGTACTTTTTTGCTCGTACGTGAAGAACGTTTTAAACAGGTACATCTTAAATCAATAAGTATAATTTTATACAAAATAAAAAATGAAGTTCTGAGATAAGGATGTACAATATGTACTTGCAAGTGTTATATATATAGGAGAGTTCCTAACAATGATTTGAGTTGATGACAAGAATTATTATACAAGTACGGCATTGCTATACGTGCAAGATCATATTGAAATCTGAACACTTCCGAAAAATATTTCCAAGATTTTTTATTGTAATGCACTTGAATTGTAACGATTTAAGTAATTCAATAATATTCTAATTTTCTTTGAATTGTAATTTGAAAAAGGACACAAAAAAGTAATGCTTTGCACTTATAAAAATAATATTCTTTTGTTCATTTTCCAAGTGAACTGTTTTATAATACGAAATTTTATATAGTAAATGTGAGATATTTCTTACAACATGAATTT